GTCATAATTCATAACCTTTTTAAAACCAAACAGTGCTTGAGACCTATTTTGTGTTTCGTGGTAATTATAATTAATTAGATTGTAGCGTCATCTAAATTCTTCTGAACTGTAATAATCAAAAGGATTTTGGAAATCTCGTATCACTTTTCTGGTACTTATTCTGTTTTGCTCATTGATATATACAGGGGGAGTTGACGTTCAAAAGTAAAATTTAGATACTTTATGATGAGGAGTATCCAAATCACCCCCATGTATGTTCTACGATTTTGCGTACTTTGTAGGTCAATTACAGAAAATAAACCCCCATTAACCCTATCTTTATTTGACCTTGTTTTAAAGTTTAATGTTTCAGAAAGTTTCTAAAAGCACTTTGAACTCCAAATCCCCCCATTTACATTTTTTTTGATACTTTGAAAATTTGTGTGTACTGAGCTCAAATCGTAATTTTGAACTTTCGAACAAATTCTAAGTGAATTCTGCAATGCCTAGATAAACCATAAGTTTTAGGATGATAGGTTAGACTATGTTAGTCAGTTATTAAAAAAACTGAACCAGAAACGTCCAACAGAATGAGAAAAAAATCGAAAACCGATGTTAGGTGAAAATTACAAAAAAAACTTTAAAAAAATTATAACTCGAAAAGTACGCAATATCGTAGAACATACATGGGGGTGATTTGGATACTCCTCATCATAAAGTATCTAAATTTTACCTTTGAACGTCAACTCCCCGGCCACCGTGTATATCAAATTCTTCTTCACTACTGTAATCCATTGTAAAAGAACGCCATAATTTTCGAATACAGCCGCAAACAAAGAAAAAACAAAACCTCGAACAGCAAATAACAGTCAACGCAAATAACCTAAAATTTTTGACGAAGTCAAAAAGAAAAGAACAATATTGCACAATGCGTTGCGTAATACAGCTAGCAGGCTACCTTGGCTGTGCGTTCATTATAAGGGACGCATAGTGCCGGTCGCCACTCAAGTATTGTCTATGAATAGGTTTTTCGGACCCTGTGCGTTAACGCACCCTGTGAGACCTCATAGTAATGTTTATGAATACGGGTGTTAAATTGTGTAAAGGTAGGGAGATCTCCAGAGCTCTCGTTAGAAACCGCAATTTCCCATTGTTTACGGGTTTCTGTGTCGAGTTTAGAAGTAACTATAAATATAACTATAATATCCCAAGTGCTCACATTAATTTTTAGGTTTTGTAACGCATTCATACAATCAGAAGTAGTATCTAAAATCTCTTTCAAAGCACTTGCAGACTCGGCATATACACGTTTTTGTCCGAAAACCCGTTTCAAAATACAATTAGCTAAATATTTTTTATTATTGTATCTGTTCTCTAATTGATCCCAACATTGTATATAATTTTCATCTGTAATAGGTACATACCTTATCAATTGCTCTGCTTCTCCGGTAAGATGCCCTTTTAAATAATGCAATTTCTGTACATTATCTAAGGAATTGTTCTTGTGCACTAAACAATTAAATAAATCGCGGAACGTGGCCCACTCGGAATATTTTCCTGAGAAAATTGGAATCGAAATTGGTGGTAACTTAACCAGTGAAGAAGTACAATTGGTCTCAATGTTCTTATTGCAAATACTACTAACACTATGTTCTAAAGCTAATAATTCCCTTTGAGCAGTTCTCAATAAGGTTTTGTATTCGAAATAAGTCTCTTCAACACTACCATATATATCATTAGAAATGTACGTTGATTCTGAAATATTTTGAAAAGACAATATTTCAATTAACTTTACATATTATCTCTGAAAAGCAGTGGCGGCGCTAGGCGTCGGCGACGTCGGCCACCGCCGACGGCCTCGCGCCTGAGGGGGCCTCGCAAAAAAATTTTACAAGTTACCTATTTATTTTCGTTTCTCCTGGCCTGGCTTAGGTAGCCGACCCCGAACAATTCGGGGAAAAAGCTAAGCAGATGATAATGACTTTTATTATTTTCGAACACGTGCGTGATGGAAGCGAGTAGTACTTTACGGGCATTCAGAATCGTCTGTCTGGCAACACTATTTTTGTAATTAAATTTCTTTGTTGTTATTATTTTTTGTCATCATTTGATTATCAACAATAAAACTCGTTTACTTATACGTTATTTTATATTTTGGCTCACTTAATTTAACGGTTTTTAACTGCGATGTAAAATAGGCCTCGCGAACTTGATGTCGCCTACGTTCACATGTGGTCTAGCGCCGCCACTGCTGAAAAGTGACCAATCTTTTTCCAAATTTTCTATTCTAATTTCTATATACGCCAAAGTGATTCTGCTTTTCGGAGATTTATTAAAATTAACTAAGCCTCTTTCAATTACTGATTTTAGAGCTAATTTAATTTTCAAAAGTCCTTCCATGTTTACAAAACTATAACAACTAAGGGAAAACAAATTAACTTAAATGACACTTATCCTAATAAAATAAACAAACTGACAATCCACTAGTCTGTGGTCACTTTAAAAGAAAACCTAAGGAAATATATAGAATTAATAATTTCCAAAGCCTAAAATTTTACAAGTGTTTGACACATTTGTACCGAGCGGAAATCGGACATGGATTCCCCGTTCCGTCGTTTTTCCTTAAAATATTCTAAGTCCTAAAGCTACTAGAAATGCACTATGACCATAAATCTTGAAAATCTTCTAAGTTATTTTAACTAAGCTAATAAGGTTCAAATTGTACTTACAGTTTCTAATGCACTCACACAAACCACAATTTACAATGCACTAGTAAACGCTTCCTTCTTTGGCCGCCAGGGGGCGTTCAAATCGTCGTACTTGTTTGCAGGAAACTGCCTCCAGGGGCTTCACTGCACTATTCTCTTTCTCTCTCTAGAGGAGTGAGCGGTAGCGTACAGCACTAATCTGCACGCCACCTGCCGTATCTTCTCAAAACTTGGGTGATCTACTTCATCTAAATCCGGCTCGGATATAGGACCATTGTTTGGGACCAAGGGTCAGCAAAAGTACTCGGCGTATTGGGATTCGTTGAAATGATAGAACTTCGTACTTGAACTAATGGCTCTATAGCGCGTGTTGGCTGCTCGGCGGCCAGGAGGGCCGCGAGGTCGCGTGTAATTTTGTTGTGTGTGACTGCGAGTGCGTGTTTGGGCCTTCGGGGCCTATATCGGGACGGGGGGTGGGGGGCGTATGCCAACGCCGACCTAATTAGTGGGTTTGAGTGCTCAAAATAAAGAACTAAAGTTGTTATTATGTGAAACTAAGGAACTCAAACCATAGTGCGAGTAACAATTGCTAAAGCGCCATCTTGCTTCTAATAAAAGAGCTATATGAACTTGAATACATTGAATATTTTAAGTCTCTTCATTTGTTATCAGTTTTAATAATACAAGTTTTAAGGTTATGTATGAATGACATTTAGTTGTTTACTACCAAAGAGACGTGACATCGTCACAATCATGGCGGATATGGCGAACAGCGTTTTAAGTGTTTAAAAAGTATAGACTAAAAATATTTTTAAAATTTTCTACAGTTATCTGCTGCTTTTATGAAGTGAAATCTATACATTTAGGTCCCTTAGACCAAATACTTTAAGAAATAAACATTTATTTATTACAATTCGACATGAGTCAACTAGCCTAGTGGGCCGCGAAAATTTGTGACGTAAACTCAATAGAATCCAATGATTGTATTATTCTGGTATAAAAATACCGGTATACGTTCAATACAAAGATTTAAATCGTTAGATATGCCCTTACATTCGGATGAGGTTGTCACTAACATTATAGCTATTAACGGGATTGTTACCTTGTACCTTGTTTTATTTCCAGTATGTTGGCATTTTCAAGATATTTTTGAAGTGAAAGTTCTTTAGGCACGCTTTACTTGGGGGGTAAACTGGCAAATGTGTGACGATTATTGCGTTACGCGCGCACCGGCGACTCATCGGCAAACAATGACTCCATATGAGATAAGTACCCTTAGTACGAGTTTGAGCTCATGAAAACTATCATAGTTTTCGTAATTGTAAATTATGTTTCTATGTCCTTTTTGGTGAAAAGTAACCAAATATACTTAAAATTTAAGAAGACGCAAATGATTTAATGATAGAATTTAAACACTGTTTATTTGTAATGAAACGAAAACAATAAAATCAATTCCCTTAATATGAGTGCGAGCTCACGAAAACTATCATAGTTTTCGTAATTGTAAAACTCGTACTAAGGGTATAGTTTAAAGAAATAGGCATAGTGACGGTTGCATCCAGCACAACACGTATATGAAAACTAAGTATTTGTAAAAAAACAATACTAAAAATAGTGAAATACATACACTTTATACTAGAAGTAAAATAATTTAAGTTTACCTGCTACTAGGCCCCACAAAATTAATAATTCGTTTAGAGGTCTCTATGTTCGCACAATAAAGTCCCAAGCAATATTCAAGAGTCAAGCCTGACTAAATTTAAATTGACCAATAAAAAAATAACTTGTTAAGAAAACTCATTAGGGTCAGTTCGCCTGTTCGCGTCCATTTAGTGCAGTTGGAAAGTTTGACGGCGATAATAAAAATATCCCAGCACTAATTTCTATAAAAAAATTATGTAATGTGTTCATTATATAGTCTATTTTAAGATTAACTTTCAGTTTTGTTCGAAACATCTATTGTTTTTTATTTAAATAGATAAACTTCGTAATAAGGCGTTTTACCCACTTTGCGTCCAAAAAATCCAAATTGCGTCCACCCGTGGACCATTTAGCGTCCACCACCTTAGAAAAGGAATATAGCGGTGATATTTTTAAGAATTTGTATAGAAAGATTGTACATTTTTTAACAATTTCTTTATTTTAGAATATAAATATTAAAACCAACATTATTATCATTAAAATTATCACTTAAAAAAATAAAAAATATTCTTCTCAATATTGATTGAATTTAAAATTATATAATTAGTAGGTAAATAATGATTGCATTTTTTAAAATAAACAGTAATCAGTTCTGTTAATTTTACCCTAAAATCTTCTACATCTGAAATTAGTATATCGTTACATTCAGAAAATTTTCTTTCTTAAATTCCTGATTTACCATTTCCTGTGTGACTTCTTGAAGGGCATGTATCTTCTTCTTTCGTTTTGGAGCAGATTTACGAACCGTTTGAGAGTGTTTTAAACTCTGTTCTTGTTTCTCTATTCGTTCTAACTTTCTTTTTCGTATTGCTTCCTTGTTTTTGTTCTTGATCTGCTCTTTATCTTTTTAATACTTACTCCATGCAGCAGAAGATATGGTTGCTAGAGTTTATTGATTATCTTTTCGTGCTTTGTTAGAAATTTCGGGTAGCATCAGGTGGTGTCTGGTCCCGGTTTCTTTACCTCATTTGGTCTGCGCCCACTGATTTTGCACAATATGTCTATGTGTCTTACCGATTTACTCTTTTCTCGAATTTCATTTAACGCTTTCTTTAAATCGTCTGTGTATATTCTCTTTTCCTTAAACTAAAACAACTTTAAACAAATAAAGTATTTGATTGATTGATTGAAATTACTCATTTCATTTAAAAATAACATTAAAAACACGTAGTCTTAGTAAAAATGTATAATAATAATAATCAATACCTATATTTAAAATTATAATTAATTAATTGTATTTAACGAAAATAGTGGACGCAATTTGGTTTATTATTATCCTCTGTAGGTATAGTTTGCGTCCATTGCGGACGCAAATTGGAAGTTTTGTAATTTCGATGTAGTAATTCGCGTCCACCTTATTTTATTCATTAAATTTAAAAAAAATAAGAAAATTTATAATTAATGTCATTCCTTTCTTCACTATAAAAGTCTAGAAACAGCTATGTATTCTAAAATAACATAAAAAAATAAAAAACTTACCATCGAACGCGCCACTGCACACTATTTTTTATCTAATCATCTCGCGTGTACGCACTCCCTTGATGATAACCGAGACTAAATATTTTTTTTAAACGGGATTGTTTGGCGCACTTACCTTTTGACCATGTGTTCGTGCCTCTTATATATTAAGGTATTAGCGGTAATTACTTTTCGTTTGATTGTAGTGTTAGTTTACTTATTTTTGAGGATTTTTTAAGGGAGATCCGTAAAATGGACGCGAATTGGGCGATGGACGCGAACAGGCGAACTGACCCTATAAAGTGTCTGATTATATTACAAATCAAAATGCTTGGGTTTGAACTGTTGCAACGGGTATTTCTATATGACATTTATTCCGAATCATGTGTTGACGATACTATTAAATTTTAAGGCTGTATTTAAAGTTGATTACTTAAGGAAGAATATCAGACTATTTAAAAACATTTGAATGACAAAACGGCGTGGTCATGATTTCTACATTTATTTTGCTTGTGTAATTGTTTGCAGTGTCATACAGATAAATTTCTTTAATTTTAAGTAAATATGTTGTGGATAATATAGGTGGTTATGGGTAGTCATGCTCTCTTAAAAGTCTCTTGGGTGGTGTCGTGTGAGGCGGGTCGTTACGTTCCCTAAAATTTGGTTGAACGAAGCGATGGCTGGTTCATGCGTCATGCTGCGTCATGCACGGGTGCTGCCAGTGGAGATGGGTCTGTCTTAACTACTTTGATATGTAAGATGTAAATGTCTAGCTTCACCTAATATAAATAACACTATTGTATTTATACTATGTGACACAGCAATCAAAATACTGTGAACAATTAATATAGAATTTTACATTGTTTAATGAAAGGTGACTTGAATCATCTCTGAAGTCATTTTTCAACTTGACGACTGTGTAAATAATAAAATAGGGAGAAAAAACAGCCCTTGCTGAGTTTCTCGCCGGTTTTACTCAGTACAAGGTCTCCCGCCGTAGATTTACGAACCGATGGCGTAGCTTCTAGACATTCATGAGTGCTTGTAACAGCATAAACTGAATTAATGATTTTGATTACGATTAACATTTTGGTTCGGTTTGATTTCTGGGATATGGATTTTCTAGTTGAGAAATCGATTCAGAATCGATCTGTGTTTGAAATCAGATTTTGGATTCGTTTTGATATATCGGATGCATGCCTAGTTTATTTTGACATTTGCGACTTTCAAATGACATAGGCTCAATTAATTTGGCATTTGCAGTTTTGCACGTTTTCAAGTGCTTTTGATTAAATGAATACGGCGCCGGTATAAAAATAGTATGTAAAAGGGAAGTTTTTCCACGTATAATCAAAATGAGAACCCGCAGTAATTCTGGGGTTCGCCTGGATTACTACCAAAGGATAGTGCACAAACTAATATTAGATCATCAACAACCTGTTACTGGCCTTTTCCCTGCAAGCCCACACAATGATCATGCATGGATCAGGGATAATTTGTATTGTATATTGGCAGTGTGGGGCCTATCTATGGCCTTCAAAAAAATTGCAGATCAGGACGAGGATAGAGCTAAAACATATGAGCTGGAACAAAGTTGTGTAAAACTAATGAGAGGTAATACCCGTTCAATTAGATACTAAAGTTATAAAAATAATAAAACACATAATAATTTGATTTTGGAAATAATTACAGGTCTTCTAATGGCCATGATGCAACAGAAAGATAAAGTTGAGAAATTTAAGACATCTCAAAATCCTTTGGATTCACTCCATGCTAAATATTCATCATCCACAGGGCGCACAGTAGTCAAAGATAATGAATGGGGACACTTACAAATAGATGCAATTTCTCTATATTTACTTGTCCTAGCACAGATGACTGCATCTGGTTTACAAATAGTATTTTCTTTAGATGAGGTAGCATTCATCCAAAACTTAGTATTTTATATAGAGTCTGCTTATTGCACCCCTGATTATGGGATTTGGGAAAGAGGAGATAAAACCAACCATGGTCTTCCTGAACTCAATGCCAGCTCCATTGGTATGGCAAAGGCAGCTTTAGAAGCTATGAATGAGTTGGATCTGTTTGGAGCACGAGGAGGACCATCAAGTGTGATTCATGTATTAGCAGATGAAGCTCAAAAATGTCAAGCTGTGTTACAATCTATGTTGCCAAGAGAATCTAATAGCAAAGAACTTGATTCAGGACTATTATCTATTATTAGTTATCCTGCCTTTGCTGTTGATGACCCCCAGCTTATAGCCAAAACAAGAGATACTATTGTTTCAAAACTACAAGGCAAATATGGTTGTAAGAGATTCTTGAGAGATGGACATAAAACACCTAGAGAAGATCCAAACAGACTGTATTATGAGCCATGGGAATTAAGGATGTTCGAAAACATTGAATGTGAATGGCCTTTATTCTTTTGTTATCTTATTCTTGATTACTTCTTTCAAGGAGACAAAAGTAATGTTAGTGATTATATGCAGAAGTTAGAGAAAATTATGATCAGGGGAGATGATACTATTAAGCTAGTTCCTGAACTGTACTCTGTACATTCTGACAAAGCAAGTCAAGAACAAAATGAACCAGGAAGCCAAGAAAGAATACCTCTTGGTAGGTGCCCCTTTCTATGGGCACAATCTTTATATATATTAGGAAAGCTACTTCAAGAGGTATTATATGATTTATTTACAATTTCAATTTCCAGATAAAAAAAAATAAAAAATAAATAAGATTTTGAATTTTAGGGATTTTTGGCTGTTGGTGAATTAGACCCCCTGAACAGAAGATTGTGTTCAGAAAAGAAACCTGATGTTGTTGTTCAAATCGTCATACTAGCTGAAGATAATGAAATCAGAGATAAACTTCTTGAATATGATCTACATGTTCAGACTATCAGTGACGTGGCCCCCATAGAGGTTCAACCTGCCCGAGTATTAAGTCATCTTTACACATATTTAGGTATTTAGTTTTTTTTGTTACTCATAAACAGTTTTCAAAATCTATACCTGTACACATTATTATCTCACAAGAAAATTATAAACCCTTAAATTTTGCCATTTTAAAATTCATGTTATGTGGTTTTATTGCTGTAAAGGGCAATGGCGCTTTATATACGTATATGTGAGGATTACTGCCATAATGTCATGGTAACATCTACCTCCCTGCACACAAGTGCTAGACTTCATAAAATAAATTTTAGGTCAAAATGCTCACTCTTTTATATAGCATATTGAGAATCATTGTCTTAGTGCACAAAAATATTAATGTACTTTTTGTGATCAATTAGGTAGAAACAAAAAGCTGGGTCTCTCTGGACGAAAATCACGTGATGTTGGTATATTGAGCACAAGCAAGTTGTACTCCCTGAATGACCGCATATTTGCATTCACACCACAGGTATGTAAATATACTAAAGTAAATTCAAAAATGTATTTTGACTATTTAAGTGAGGATAATGTTTGTGGATGTAAGAGAGGACACATACCATGCCTTAGTGAAGTGTGTCCGGATCGAATCTGAATGCAGAGCTTTAGAGCTTGAGCATAAAGTGAGCTTAAGACATGTTGGCGTGTGCAATTATATTGTCCAAGCTGACATCAAAATTAGCCATTAAATTTGGTAATATTATAATAAAACTAATTAAGTACAGATTATAAAACTAAATGTATCATCATGGGGCTGACATAGTCGCTCAGCTACAAAAGCCTTCTTTCTACTGAATAAAGATTAAAAATTAAATTTATGTGGATGACCACCAAACACAGAAAGAGGTTAGAAGGGCCTTGTGGGCGGCATGCGAGCTACAGTTATGTGTGAGCAAATGCTCATAAGTTGACTAAAACTTGGTTCTGATTTCGTCATTGCCCTTGGGTGTGAGCTCTGATGGGTTTGATTGTTTGATGTCACATTGTTTGATTGGCTATTATCTATTAAGTGGAAGTGTAGTGGGGGCGAGCCGGTGACATCGGTTCCCGTACTAACGATCTATGATCACCCTTTTAACCTCTTTCTGTATTCTGTGTGGATGACCTTTTAAAATAATATTGTTTGCATGATTACTGCTTTTCTACATGAGAAAATTTTAATTTTAGTTGAATACATTTCTTCCGTTCTTCTATGATTAGAAAAGCATACAAGTCTGTTCAATATAAAAATAGGTCAGGTCACCTTTGATGGCTATTCTAATGTAAGAAAATATTACTTGTGTTATAGATACAGGTTTTTATGTAAATAACAACACTTGGAAAATGAAGGACTTTTTAAAAAAGAATTATTATATCATAGCCTTTATTTTGAGTTGTTTAGTTTTTGAAATTACTAATTATTTATTTTGTTTTTTTTTTTTAATTTCTATATAGTTTTCTGATAGAAAGCGTTTCTACATAGCTTCTGACTATGAACTGATGGTTGATACACTCAAAGCTGAAATTAATTTCTTGAAGTCTTCTTGGCAAAATCTTCTTGGGAGACCACTTATTGTATTGACTTTAAACCAAACATATATAGGTATTTTATTTAAAATATTTCATGGGTCCTGCTTGCTGGTTTGTACCCTGTCATTTTCATGTGATATATTTGCTTTGATTTTAATAAAGATCCCTTACATGGCATTATAATTATGATAATATGGCTTTAATGGTTATAAACTGTTTTGATGGAAATAACATTACGTATATGATATACCTAATTTATTACATTTATTCAGTGTGTTGAACTTTGGGATTTGTTTTATTTTACGTAATTGTAATTTTTTGAATAATAAAAATAAAATGAATCTTTAAACACAGTTCGCATCAAAGTGGTGAGCCCTTCAAACTTATCTATTTAAAAGAAATAACATTTACTTCTTAATTATATGCATATTGCATATTTATGGAATGGATATAAATCTCTATGCATTCTAGAAAACGATGTGCATTGTTGATGTTGTTTGTATTTTAACAATATTAGTTTTTAGTCGTGTGCGTGTCCTGTTACAATTTACTACCCCATAATACTTGAACTGGTCAGTAGCGACAACAGATTGGCGTGTTAACATTAAGCATGCGTGTGCCTTAGAATTTCGACTACGAGGAGTACTACATGTCGCGGGACCCGGCTCTGCTCGCGAGCACTTTTATGGCTAACGTCGCCTTCCTTGGAATGAGTTGGAAACAGATGCTAGGCCGGCCCACCATCACGTTGCTTGCTACCCAGTATTTGTTAGGTAAATGATACGAGAATCTAATGTCATCCATATAAATAGTATTTAATGGTTGTTTAATATAGATTTTGCAAAGCTAGGCGCTCCTTAGCAATATGCGTAATAATAATTCGAATCGCTTTCACTAGTTTTCCGCTGTCCGGTCTGCCCATTCGTTTTTTTTAAGCAGGCTTTTACTTAATATTTTATGAACCGCCATTCATAGATAGTTGAATTTTCTTACAGCAATAATATACATCAAAAATTACGTCCCTTATACGATGGTACGGAAACCCTTTATTTGCTACTCTGACTCGCGGTTTTTTTGAGTTTCTTAGAACAATCGATGCTTCTCAGTACAAAATATCTCTCCTGTAAATTGAGATTTGTAATGTCACAAAAAAAGTTTGATTCATTCATTTCATTTTCACCTTTCCAGTTAGTTTTGAATTCAATGATATCTACTTCTGAATATACTGATAGAGGCCAATCATAATACCAAAACCAAAATAAAATAATTTATAAAAAAATAACATGATATAGGACATGACATAATACTTAATAAGTATATATATATCATTAAGTGTATCAATTGGAAGTCATTTCATTCGTAATCATTATGTTTGGACATTTAATTCATTCTTATAATTAATTTTCACTCTACAGTCCCGATGCCATTCACCACCTCCATATGAACTAACGTGTGTTCCATGCTTTATAGCTTTTAAAAAACCTTGAGATTGCATCATGTGCTTTTATTATAATACTAACTTATTTATCACTTATTTATGATTATTGTGATATTATGTAAAATTTCAGACCAGGGTAAGATCCCAATGGCTATGATAACTACTATGAAAAAATTGAAATCTGGTTACATAAATGGCACTAGAGTGACTCTGGGAAATCTTGGTGATTTCCTCAGTACATCTGCCATCACCAACCTGAGTTTTCTCGGGAGCCAGGAGGATGGTTATCCTGATAGTAAGTAATTACTGGTGTCGATTGTGGCATAATTCTCTAAAATTAAACCTAAATTTAACATCAGCCTTTCCTTTTCATTCTGTACAGACAATGACAAGAATATACTGTTGTTAAATTTAATTTTAGGTTTAGAGAATCATGCCAGTGTCGATACCATTGTCGATTAATTTAGCATTTATTGGTTCACATCTAGCCGCGACGCGGCGTGCTGTTTTAATGATGGCTTAAAATAAAACTTTATTTTACTACGCAAAAAGATAAGTACACAATAGACATTACATTGTGCGGTGTGGCGTTACGCTGCGCTGCAGAACATATTCGAATAGGGAAGATGAAAATATAATATTTATGAAAATTATGTGATTAAAATGTTAAAAAGATATAAAAGAAAGGCCACTGCAACGTTTTTATTTTACATAATGTTGTTTTTTAACAATAATTACGAATTAAAAATGACTAGAAAAAAGCGTATTTTACAACACCAATCAGCGTTTAGTGACGTCACTCCTGTTATGACAACTTATTTGAGATTATGGTTATAAAAGTGAATATTATTTTATGGGAATATTAATTGCGTTTTTTTAATAAAAATGGAAGTTGTGTTTATCAAAGCAGACTCCAGAAAATTACCAAGAGTTAGTGTTGACATGGTTGTAACTTTTTTTTGTCCAATGTGCAGAGTTTTCAAGTGTAGAAATGAAAGGGACTAAATTGCTACACATAGCAGTTACTTCAGTTCACCAAGAGAATCTTACGGCGTAAACGCAATCGGCTATGTCCAAATTAAAAGAGATGGAGAATTATGTACAGTAAAAAGTCGAGTTACTCCGGAGCATAAAGTACGTAAAGAAAGTTATCGTGTTACAGTTATTTTAAATGAAACACAAAGCTTGGTTCAGTCCTGCCAATGTGAAAATTGTGCCACACATTTTAAACTTTATCCAATTTTGGACGTCGTTCTCCAACTGTAAATAAAAATATGTTATAGACAAGTTTTGTAAGTATTAGGTAGGTTACTAACGCGTTTTTACGTACAAGCAGATTAATAAAGCATATAACAAATATATTCGCCGACTTACGTCAAAGTGATATTCACAGCATCGAATAATGGTCTTTGGAGAATAATTGTCATTTCTCTTCGCGCTTGAAACCACTTTTTTCTCTATTTTGGGTCAATTAAATTAATTCAATCAAAAGTCAAAAACAATTTATTTGGATACTTTGTTGAAGTAGATGGACACATTGACACAAAACATGAGTCAACACGGCTTTTTTTCGGAATATAAGTGGTATTGTTATGATCACCTGATGTTGATGGATAGTCTATTTTAATTTTTTACAAAATATCTCGAAAGTCGAAAAAATAAGCAAAAGTATGAAAATTGAAAGCCAGCGACGAACAAGTACGACCTGTGACAGACAGGAATGACGTCATCGGAACCATAGATCCGTTTTCGCGCGAAAATTTAAACTGTCAATTTAAAACCGCATTTTTTCCGATAAATTACAATGTTTTAATTTTTTAATATAGATATATTATATATGATATATTTTTAATATAGGTAGAATAAACTACAGATGTAGTTTATTCTACATGCAATTCTTTAAAATGAAAACAAAAATAAAAATATTGCATCTTCCCTATTGTGTCAGTGAAATGAGTACCTTTTTGTCTAGTAAATAAAGTTCATTTCGTATTGCAATCATAATAAGTCGCATCTCCGTGTAAAATTACTCGTATTGAACACATTCATAGTGATATCAATATTTATTTATTTATTCTGATTTTTTCCATAAATTTTGAATTAATATGACAAGTTTTCAAAGAATTCTGTAGGCAAATGCATAAGAAATATGATGCTGTATTGACTCTACACTGAGCTGTTTAACACAGAAGAAAATCGAAAGTTTTTCATTGGTCATGATTTCGAAAACTAATACTTCTTTTTTCGATTCTCGGTTGGTGTTTTAATGGGAGCGAACCGAAACTAATTTCGTTGCCTCCATTCTCGCTACGCCTTCTTTTAATACTTGTAAAGGTGTTTTGTGTTCACATCATTTTTATACAAGTTCGCACTATTTATTAGAAGTTCATACATACAATAATGCGAAAAGACTTTTTCCCCTACCTATTATTATCGTTACTCTTGCTATACTGTTCTGTTACTTTTGTATGCGATTTTGGGATAAAGAAAGCGCTCCACTACTCGTTTACGTGAACACAGTACTTACAATAACATTATATTATCGGAACCTTTCGTTCCGCGTTAAGAAGGCTTATTTGTTAAGGTGTTTGGAAACTTCACAGAGCTAAATCCGCAAGTGCAAGCCTATTTAGAGGAGCATCTGCTGAAGTCGTTCAGCAACAAGCTGAGCTTCATCGCTCGACCTGCGGGCGCCCGGAACGTCCGAACTCTACGCCGGCGAATGTCCGTACGCGGCGCTATCAAGAAAACGCGCTCCATTAATGTTGACTGTAAGTATTTTTTTTTGGAAGTGAATCTTCTAATAAGACGGGGTTTGTTTTAGGATTTTGCTGTCTCGAAAAAGTGTTAGGGCCGCGTAGAGGGGATAGACTATATATCTCACGACTATATATTAGAGAGAAAGGCTGGCGGCGCCGGAGAAGGCAAGTGTGGAGGGATTGTCCGTTGAAGTTTCACTTATAAGTTCTATGTGTTCCAGCACACATTACGAATTTTGTTCTTATATATTTATTTCATTTGTATCATGGGTTGCCTTTTTTTTATTGTTAGGAAAATGGGTGACGCATACCCTGCCCCCAGGGGCATCTCTTACCCAGGTAAGAGACAGGGATCATGGGTAGCCTGTAAGAGATTGCTATAAAGCCATAAGGCCGCCCGTTTTTTGTCTCTCTTCATATAATTCGTTGATTAGCACTCATGATTATTACGCAGGTATACTCAAAAATATAATATACCCTTTGGCCCATACTGATAATACAAACTTATATAAATAAAATCATGTGCCTATGTATCAATAATTAAGCGTCCCTGATTTCAGCCGAAACACTGGGCATGGAAGGGGAATACGTAGGCCCACCCCTAGAACGGAAGCCATCATGGCTTGATGTAGACCCGCCTTTTGATCGCAGCCCCAGCCCCTCACTGGATGAACTGAAAAAGAAGGCGTTCTATAAGTAAGTGTCTTCATTATCATCAACACCAGCCTATTAATATCCCGACTGCTGGGGCACAGGCCTGCCCTATGGATGGAATAGGGAGATTGGGCCGAGACCTACCACAAGGGCCACAGTGCGGATTGGTGGGTGCTAATTACTGCAGATGCAGCACGGACCATCTGTTTAGTGTGCCTTCCGAAGCACAGAGGAGCTCGATTTAATAAGTTTTTAGTCACCCATCCAATCATCGACCATTGCGAAAGTTGCTTAACTTCCACGATCGCAGGCCGAACGCTCTAACCATCTGCGCCATCGAGCTCCTCTAAGTTTAAGTATCTACAACTCTATGAAATAGCATCATCAAAAGCAATATTGATACATACTTGAAAGTGAGACAACATTATAATGGCTGTGTCAAAAGACAAGTATGAGGTGTTTGTGTAGCTTGAGGTCTCTGAAATGGCAAATGCCATTGCTTGGCTAGGCTACTCGAAAAATAATGTTGTGAATATTTGGCAATAACTCAGATTAATTATGGAAAATATGAGTTACAATGTCAGTGATTTAAAAGCGGAACTAAGAAAAAATATTATTATACCATGTCTTTTTTTTCCGAACAATGTGGAACTGCGCAGCACTAGCATAGCCCATATATTTACGCTACTTACGTCAACTTTGTTTTCACGCTTATATTAACAAACTTTGAAAGCCACACTTCATATCCTCACTCACTCTAAAGTGGCGCCATCATCTGGTGAGACATAAGAACAAGATAACGCTCATTGATGCTTAACTTCCAAGATCACAGACCGATCGCGGTAACCACTGCTACATCGTGTTCCTTAAAAAAGACTGCTATATCATCAGCCTTTTAATGTTTCCACTCCTTCCCTGTGGATGAAATGTGGAGATTGTCCCTGTGGATGAAATATGGAGCTTAGGCCATGAAATAAAGCCTATTATAAAGTGTCTGATTATATTTCAGACAAAAATACTTGGGTTCAAACTGTTCCAAACGTTCCGGCAGGCTTTATCTATAATTATGATGAAGATGAAATTATTTTGTATTGACACCATAACAATATTTCTAAATATTGTTACATAATTATTTAACGCTGAGCATTTTTTTCGCCAGTTTTATTCCATAGCTAAAAACAATTTCCTTAACTGGTGGTACGGGAAAAAAATATAGACGATTCAAAAGAGATGTGTTCTGCATCCAATTTGAATAAAGATATTTTGTCTTTTGAACTACTACGCGGGCCCAGTGCTGAATAGTAGTAGGTAGGAGCCAACGATTGTAGATGCAACCGGGACCAACGGCTTGTCGTACCTTATGGAGCATGGTAAGCCTAGGCGTGATAATAAATTTTTGGCCACCCATCCCCATAGTGATCGGCTATTGCGAAAGCTGCTTAACTTCCAAGTGGTAGGCAACGGTGTGAGTAATAGTTTTCGTATCGCAACTATAGGCTAAGGTGGCCGCTTATGATCAGGCAGGCCATACGCTTTTTTGCCACTCTTTTAATATCCAGGGTTAATAGGCTAGTTGACCCTTTTTGGAAAAAGGTTTTAAATGGTTAATAAATGTTCTATTAGACCGAAAAAAATTGTATTGTATTTTTTTGAGACCTAGAAAGCTGCAAATCTTTAATTTTAAAATAGATTTCATGGACATACAAAAACGCTGTCGGCCAATTTAGTCTATAGATTATCTATGCTATGACGTCAACAGGGTGGAAAACAAAAACTCGTAAGCACGTAGAAAATAACCTATCTGAGTTTATAATAAAAAAAAAACATTATTTCTAATAAATACCACGAAAAATATAGTAATTATCATTATTGTATTGTACGAGAATGTAAAAACACATCCTTGAAGACTCCAGGAAAGTTGTGAATTAAAGTGCTGAAAGAAATTAACCTACGCAATACCTGGTTACAACTTGCTAAAAGGGATCCTGCAACTTTATCGACTCATAGTAAAAGTTATTTTTTAGTCGATTTTAGTCATTGAAAAATATTTTAATATAAAATACAAGTTTTTAGGTTATGTATGAATATCATTTAGTTGTTTACTACCAAAGAGACGTCACAATCAGGGCGGATGTGGCGAACAGCGTTTTTAGTGTTTAAAAAGTATAGACTAAAAAATATTTTTTTAAATTAAATTTCTACAACAATCTTCTGCTTTTAAAGTGAAATCGATACATTTAGGTTCCTTAGACCAAATACTTTAAGAAATAAATATTTATTTAATACAATTCGACATGAGTCAACTAGCCTATTTTAAAACACCAACAACCTCTTAGGGGGTGATTCTACCCATCAACAGGAACAACTTTTATTATGGCACCAACTCTGAAATCGTGAAAAAGCTGCTTCATACATTTCGGTCGATTAGCTGATGCACTTTTGTATGAAACAGCATATTTTTTGTTCGCGATTTCAGCGTTGGTCCCATAATAAAAGTTGTTCCTATTGATGAGTAGAATCACCCCCTAAGAGGTTGTGTGTGTTTTTTCAAATTAACCCTGTATAGATACAATCCCAATGTTCTGAACGCTTGTGCCATCGAGCTCCTCTGAAGATAAGTACACTGATTTAAAGGATATATTATACGTTTTTCACTTATCCACTATAGCTTATTTTTTGTTTGTTTAGCGTCCACTGAAATTTTGGAGAATAAACCTTTTATAATGCCGCGTATCGGATTAGTTGTGAAATCCACGTTATCTTTTAATCCCATCTTATAGAGGATAGATTGGAAGTGCTAGATTAAATTTATAATAAGTATTTATTTTCCTAGGGAAATGACGAGCAGTCTAGGCGGCAATACACCAACAATTGAAGTAACCAAGGAGAAAACACCTTCCCCACCAAAAGAAGAAGGTAAATATAGTATTAAAATTAGAGCCAGTTACACCAAACTTGTTGGGCAAAAACGATGGACAAAGCCTGTGCAGTAACAATTTTACACACAGAAACGTCTACTGTTCAAGTTTTTTTGTCTGTGATTTTGGTCAAGAGGTTTACCGCTACATATCTAAAAAATATTATTTTTACGTAAAAATGTCACTCGTACCTACAAGTTTCCTTTTTGTTGTAACACTGGCCACAATAATTTTATTCGATGCTGTTGAATTTGTGGTTACGTTAGGCAATTGTTGACTCATTTATTTTTCACATGATCTGCAAATGGAATGCCTTGCCCGCTCATGTATTCTCTAGCCTACAACCCGGGATCTTTTAAAAGATATATAGAGCAATTTGCAGGCCGGCAAGGTGAGGATAGCTGGTTAGTTAAACTGCTGTTTGTACCAGCTATCTTCGCGTCAGTACTTCACAATCACTTAACATCAGGTGGGGTGGAGCCATTTGTGGGACCTAACTTTACATAAAAAAAAATATATTATTAGCACATTTACCAACTGACCGGCTGGTACCGAAAAATAATAAACTTACATTTTGTATCCATGTTCATAATTTGCGTCAAGGTCAAGTATATTCGACTGAATAAGCTGACTTTTAAGATTAAACCTTATATCATATAAACAGCGGTGGTAAACAAAGTTACACGCCCACGCACTACGTCGGAATCACAAACGATGTATGCAGAACAGGAGACCGACGAGTTGATCGCCATGTTACGTGAAACGGAGAATCTCGACGAACAAGGCGACATATTGCAGTACTTGGTGGACACGCACGGATTAGAATTCACTACTGGTAAGTGGACATTATAAAGGGAACGATGTACGCGGAACATGAGACCGACGACTTGATCGCCATGTTACGTGAAACAGAGAATCTCGTCGAACAAGGCGACATATTGCAGTAATTGGTGGACACGCACGGATTACAATTCAGTGCTGGTAAGTGGACATTATAAAGGGAACGTTGTTCGCGAAACATGAGACCGACGAGTTGATCGCCATGTTACGTGAAACGGAAAATCTCGTCGAACAAGGCGACATATTGCAGTACTTGTTAGAGATGCATGGATTAGAATTCAGTACTGGTAAGTGGACATTATAAAGGGAACGCGAAACATGAGACCGACAAGTTGATCGCCATGTTACGTGAAACGGAGAATCTCGACGAACAGGGTGACATATTGCAGTAATTGGTGGACACGCACGGATTAGAATTTAGTACTGGTAAGTGTACATGTTCTAAATGGAACGATGTACGTGGAACAAGAGACCGACGAGTTGATCGCCATGTTACGTGAAACTGAGAATCTCGTCGAACATGGCGACATATTGCAGTACTTGGTGGACACGCACGGAATTGAAGTCAGTACTGTACCCCTAGCATGAACCATTATGGCAAACCGAAATATCATTGTTTGAAAACTTGAACAGCAGCAGCACAAAGTACGTAACGAGAACTAAAAATCAGTACACATTTGACAATAACATTTCGGACTCGCAAACGTTATGAATTCGATATTAGTTCGTGCTAAGGGTACCGGTAAGTGGACATTATAAAGGGAACGATGTACGCGGAACAGCAGAGCTATTTTATAAGAACAAACTCACTTTTCATCCGATACGAATATGATTTGAAGTTCACATTCTAATTCCAAATTACACGCGGATTCTGCGATGCAAACTGAGTTTGTTCCTACAGAATAGCACTGCTAGACAAACAATGGGACATACTGCAGTACTTGGTTGACACGCGCGAACAAGACCTCAGCACGGGTAAGTCGATAATGATGATCGATGAACAGGGAAGAAAAATGTCAATTCAATTCATATTCATTAAATAGGGTACAAATAATGGTATTACATATATTTCATCTAAATTGTATCTTAACCTATTTAGTCATAAAAAGATAACATGCAATTTTTTCTATTCAATTACCTATATAAATGGCAATAATTATTATTATAATATTATTGTTATTCAATGTTGTCAATTTATTCATGACAATAATTATGTGAATGTCAAAATATGAATGATTTTGTAAAGAATCAAAATTAAATGTTATATTTAAACCCATTAAGCATGCCTTTAACCCGTGCATCAAATCCTACCATAATCCATTCTCACAGTCAAAGGCGCTGATGCCGTATGGCCCATGACAGCTGTCAAAAAAGATACGAAAAGTGGTTCAGATCGACAGACTCGAAGTGACATATCGATTGTTATGGGTCATACGAATCTAACGCCATCTGTAATGCTTTGCGTTTTTTTTCGCCATTGATTGCAAAGCTCTTGAACACTGTGAGTCGGGACGAAAAAGAAAACATATTGCACGATCTAATGGATTCGTCTTCAGTGCTGGTAAGTGAACGCAGAATAGTAGACTGGCTTATTGATTGGTATGTTGTTGGATAAAAATTACAGTAAGTACCTAATGGACACGCACGGACTACTTCAGTGGTGGTAAATGGATATCCATAGGGGGATACACCCATAGAGTAAGATCCCAAAGCCACCAGACGTCACGTATTTTCTGATGAAGGAAATGTGGACGATTGAGTAGTATTAGTATGTACTAAGAACGCATGCCTACCTGCTAGCTTGCTTAGACGGCCAATTTTCAGGTATCAGGTAACCAAGGTACATAAAATTACCTTAAACATTACTTACCTCACGTAATTTCTCCAAGCTGATTTCTATGTATATTTTAGGCAATATCCTTATAAATAAATCGTCAATACTCCCAGACACTTTCTGCCGGCCGTATTGCTTTGCAGACGCTTTAAAGCTCCCAAAATAATTACTTAACTTCACGTCAATTCTGATGCTCCATTCAGTAAATACGTGACGTCAGGTGGCCCTGGTATCTTGGACTACCAGTTCTTGTAACTTTCGATTCATTGCAAACACAGTAGTATTATTAAACCGATGTCTCCTGTATTAAAGTGTATGATACTTGCCCCGACGTGCGCTCTAATCAATCAGAAAAATCAGTAGTTCGTATTACTTCTGAATTATTTAAGAAATAAATTAGAAAGTTTCGAATGGTCTTTGGATGAGTGACCAAAAATTTATTATCTCGAGCTCCTCCGTGCTTTGAAATGCAGGTTTAGCATTTGGTCCCGGCTGCTCATGCAGCCGTTAGCACCCACCAATCTGCACTGGGCCCGCATAGTGAGTTATGACCGAATCTCTCTATTCCATCCATACAAAATACCGGTGTTCCAGCAGTTAAAATTAATAGGCTTATGAGAATGTATAAGATAAAAGAGAAAAAAAGGCAACCCTTTCTGAGTTTCTTGCCGGTTCTTGTCAGAACAAGGTCTCCCGCCGTAGATTTGCGAACCGATGACGTAGCTTTCGACTTTCACATACGTTTGTAAAAGCCTGAATTGAATATTTTTTTTATACATACACCAATTAGCCTAGCCCCAAAGTAAGTACTGTAAGTAGGGATGCAAAGTCTTTTGAAATATCGATATTATATCGATATTTATATCGAAGTCAGGAAAATATCGATATCCGATATATCGACCATTTTAACTCGATATTATCGATATATCGATATTTTTTTCTTTTTTTTTTATTGTCATTAGAATACGGGGTGAGTGTGACACATTCATATGTTTGGTGGCAAATTTCTCGCAAAATGCATTGAGCCAGCTTTTTCTTTAAACACGCTTGATGAAATCGTGCCAAGCGGCATTTTTTTTGGCTCGCACGGTTTGTGTTTCCGGCACGACAGGAAACCAAAAAATTAAAATTATTATCCTGATCAGATCACTCACATTTGTTAGCACGAATGCGCCAACCCGCATATGTGGGACGACATTTGCGAATGCCTTCGCTAAGTTTTCACTACATTCGTGCTTTTCCAAGCTATGTCGGCTTTTTAGCGCACATCAAATACGCAAATTGGCATGCCCATGGCTTTAGAATAGGGTAAGCCCAATGCTTCAAAAATTACTATACCTATCTTACTTTCTTGACTTGGTGAGCTTAAAAATTTACGATTTATATAAGATTCTTAATTTTATTTTGTTTTATATTACAATGATATTTAATTTCAATTAATCAGTAGTTGACAATTATCTAGAAAGAGAGGCAAGGATTTTATTTAAGTGCAGGAGTTACCATTAGGTATACGATTATACCTATATACGTTGGTGTCGATTCTGGCATGATTATCTAAACTTAAAACTAAATTTAACATCAGTCTCTCCTTGTCATTCTGTATAGAGAATGACAAGGATACACTGTTGTCAAATTTAATTTTAGGTTGAGAGAATCATGCCAGAATCCACACCAGTTTAGTATATTTCTTGGGGTTCAAGATTTTTTTAATACATCTATAAGCTCTTGCGATTTCAAAGCAATAGTTATTTCGATATTATTCAATTTAGATAGTCATCGCAGGTAAATTAATTGATATTATTGTGTTTAAATTTAGTCTACGAAATATCGAAATTTTGGAATTTTCAATATCGATATTATCGATATTTCGATATATCGTTGCAACCCTAACTGTAAGGCTTGTGTAATGGGATACAAGGGTAACGGATAGAAATCATATATTGTACACATAGAAGTATATTTATATGGAAATACATATTAAACATCCATGACTGGAGTACAAATGCTCGTATTCATCACACAAACATCTGCCCCACCGGGATTCGATTCGGATTGATGATGATTATTGAATTTGATGTTTTCCTCGCAGGTATGCTAGAGAGCGGCAAGAACGTAACCGTCAAAGACCTACTCAAGGTTTTATACGATAAAGCTTGCACACAAAAGCTGTGGGGTTTGGTCCGACACACGGCGGGCATGTTAGGCAAGCGCGTAGAAGACTTGGCCAAAGCGATCACGGATCTACTCGTCAGACAGAAGCAAATCACAGTGGGAATGCCGCCGAAAAACGAACATACTATCACTGCGCCGCTACCGGAGAACGAACTCAGACAGCTGATACATTTGGTGAGTTACTTCTTAAATAAAGAGTCTGTTTTTGACGTGACAACGTCTTAAATTAGGTTGCGGCTGGGAGTCACTTATGAAAAAGTGTAACGCTCGGTAACGTTACGATGAGTCTCTCGTGTTAAGTTTAAGTTTACATGTACAATGTTTTAGTAAACAAAATATATTTCTATAGTTAAAATTTGTGCAATTCTTATTTTCATTCAATTCCTTGTTCCTATTGTGCAATTTAATTATATTCATATCAATAAATATTCTACCGAGAAAAAGACGTTGTCACGTAAAATCTTCGCCCGTAAAACCGACTTTACAGGCAACCATTTTTTTTTATGTGTAACATCTTTCCTCTCGCTTTCGTGCAGCAAGTGTGTAACAGGAAGTTTGGGAAGCGCGCTTTTTTATTTTAGAACATAATGTTCAAATGGCTTATTCCTTTTGTAGTAGGTTTTATTTCTTTTTTTACTAATATAAGGTGAGGTGTCAAATGTTACAGATCATCGCGACTACTGTAAGGCTCGCTCGTTTTTTTTATATATATACCGCACCGCTAAAGCTAGGTAACTGTCGCCCAAACACTGCGCCGAGTAATACACCAAAAGAGTAGAAACACGGGCTGATTCCGTGTTTCATATTTTTTTGTTTTAGTTTTATATCGTACGATGTTGGTTTTTGTTATTAAAAGGGGTTGAAATTGCTGACATCATAGGCTATTTGACAAGTTTTTGATAACGTTCATAAGTTATTTATTAGTTTACAGTGACTCCATAAAAAGTGGATATTTATAATTCTGTTTCGTATGTCAATTAAAAAAAATCTAAAAATTAAAATTCCCTTTTCAAATATGCCGCGGAAACGTTTCTCTAACAAATATGGCGTGTTCGCAGGCAAGTGACGTCATTTTAGGTTCCACTAATCTTTGGCGATTTCGATTACGTGACAATAGATCAAAAAATACTTTCCTATATCATGATTTTTAGTAATATTATCGATAACTTTTTATGTCAGAATAGTGGAACCGCTCCCAATATTCATTACATACGCCAAAATTGGTACCTAATTTTTCATACTGTCAAATAGCCTATTGTTGATTTACATAAATTTTAATTACGCTAATACAGCACTGCATCCAGTTTTTGAGGAGCTCAATTTCTCAGGGGTTCGGTCTGCGATCGTGGAATAAAGCACCTTTCGCAATGACTGGGTATTCAGTTTGGTAACCTAAAATTTATTATTGATTCGGCATCGGAAAGGATGTTAAGCTGTAGGTCCCGGCTCCAACGGCAATTTATAAATAATGAAAAGGAGAATCTTCTTAAAAAAATAATTTTAAAATTACAAAATCATGCTTGTATTTGTATATAGGGCCACTGAGTACATATGGAAGTAATCTTTACATAATATAACTTTGTAGCAGTAAGAAAATCTGTTTTATCGTTAAAATTTTTAGGGTTAGTTTTACGTCTTATCATATTAATGTGTGTTAATATTGTTGCAAGCAGTCATTTCGTCATGAAAAACACAGCCACAAACAGGTAATTTAGATTTTGTTTCTAAATAGTATTTTGAGAAAATGTTATCAGTTTTTTTATCCGCGCGTGTTCTCCATTAATCTGATTCGGACATTTTAAAAAATCAACTCTTTGAGCCCAGTTATTATTTCCGTTATTGTTCGACAAAAAGACTACGGCTATGCTAACGCAAGAACTGTACCCTTAGCAGGAACCATTATCGAATTCGAATAGTTTGCGAGTCCGAAATGTCAAATTTTGTATGGAAACTTTGACAGCAGCGCTACAATGGACGTAACGAGAACTAAAAATCAGTAGTGAGGAGGGTACAATAGACCACATATATTTCTCTTGCGCAATAAATCGAAAATATTTTAATCTCTACAGCGAGTTGGTAAAAATTAGGGTACCGCTTCCAATAAACCTACTGCTATAATTAAAACAGCCAAGACTTCACTGGTCCCTGTTCTTGTGCATGTTTTTAATCTGTGTATCACGTCCGGTATTTTTCCAACAGCTTTTAAAAAAGCCCTTGTACACCTGATTCACAAGAGTGGGGACAAGGGCAATGTCACAAACTATATGCCTATCTCGGTTTTGACGGTATTGTTTAAGATCCTGGAAAAGATCCTAAACAAAAGACTCATCAATTATCTTAATGCAAATAACATTATTGCGCCAAATCAGTTCGGTTTTAGGAAAAATAAATCAAGCGAAGATGCAGTTTTACAACTTAGCGAATCAGTAGTTAGGAACCTTGAATGAAAACTCAAGACAATTGGCGTGTTCCTGGATCTTTCTAAAGCCTTTGACACTGTCTCTGTCCCTATTCTGATTGAAAAAATGTCGAGGATCGGTGTTCGGGGTGTTGCGTTGGATATTTTCAAAAGTTATCTTGGTGATCGTTCACAGTTAGGATACACAATTTTACAAGTCAGGATGAACATATCAGTTACGGTGTTCCGCAGGGGAGTGTCCTAGGTCCTACCCTTTTTAATATCTACATCAATGACCTCTGTAAATTGATTCTTCCAAACTGCAAAATCATTGTATATGCTATGATAATCCATGGAAGTACCTGGAGTGAAGTTTCTTCAAACGCTGAATTTGCACTACAGGAAGTGATAAAATGGTTATCCATAAATTTGCTAACCCTCAATTTAGACAAAACCAAATTCATTACATTTGCAGCACGTTCACACTCTCTTCCATCTTCTTCTTTTACCATTCGCGCTCATCAATTACAAGTAAACGAATGCAAAAACTGTAGCTGTTTGCAAATCCAGCGTGCTCCTCACATTAAATACCTTGGTGTTTGGGTTGATGCTGTTTTGTCTTGGAAGGAACATATTAATACTACAGTAGCTAGAGTCAGGAAGTTAATGTTCATATTTAAAAATCTTAGAAATGTCGTAGATTTGGAAACTCTCAGTACTACTTATTACGCGTTAGGGCAATCACTTATAATTGCATTGTTGTCTGGGGTTGTTCAGGTAAAACTCACCTCTTACGTCTGGAAAGGGCTCAAAGGGCTGTTCTTAAAATAATTAATTTCAAACCAATTACCTTTCCAACATCTGAACTCTATGCATTTTTTAATGTTTCGTTAGTTAGGCAGATTTACTTACTTAATGTAATACTGCGTAAACACTCGCATATGCCATATGATGACCGTGTTTCGTTAAGTAGACGTTAGACCTTACATTTTGTGTAAGACAGGCAGTGTAAGATTAAATGTAGCTAGACGCCACTTCTGCTTTATATCTTCTGTTTTATACAACAAGGTAAACGGAGTTCTGAATATATTTCCTCTTACTCTTAGAAAATGCAGGGTAAAAACTAAGGAATGGCTTCAAAGCCTGACATATTCTGATACAGAGGCATTATTTGGTACTTTATTGGGTTTGGCCTGATCATCTAATGTTTTGTGCTATACATACCTCAAACAGACACATTCACACACATACACACACACCCACACCCACGCGCACGCACACACACCCTCACATACATACACACAAATAAGACACAAACACGCATTTAATTTCTTTTATAATATTAAATTAGGATTAAGATTAAAATTAAAATTATTGTAGCAAAAATTGTTTTCTGGAGGTGGGCGTTAATAACTGAGACACAGTTTTATAACTAATGCACTTATTATCGATCACTATTGTTATTGTATCTTTGTTATGGTTTTAATAAATATTTCATTTCATTTCAAATATTCCATCCCTTTTGGCAATTTTTTCTTCTCAAATAATTCTTATCTTGGCGAAATTTATTCATGATTACAAGATTAAACTGTGAAGGTATACTGTGTGGTGAAGCCGAATGCGGTAAAGGATATCTGGTGGGGTCGAAACCCCGGAGAGTGGACTATAGGTGTGGTTCGAAGTATTAAGGGGGTTTGGTTTATGGGATAGGATGAAAAACACTGTGCTTACTTGAGGGCCTCGATGGTGGCGCTGGCTCATACGCCGGCTTCTCCTGCAGCAGTCTTGTCCTGATGCCAGCGGTTAAAGATAGCGGTCCGGAAAGTCGTTGTTGATAGCTATCACAAATCACACGAAACCTTCTATTTGCGAGAAAATCTGTTCACCTAAAGATTGTTTATTAATCTTCACACTTATTTATATGAGTTTAATGCGGGAAAATTTCTATATTCACAATTCTTGCGGAGCGATGACAAATTCGACTAGTTCGTTATTTCGCGGTGACAGAACTTTGTCTTTTGTTGATGCGGTGACAGCCTGCTGACAGAGCCATTTCCTTCCGGCCATCCGTCGTTGCAGGCAAATATATTGCGTCTTCCTCCCTCATAAGAATAAGGCACAGTTTGAAGGAGAAGGATCTATTAGGATGCGATTAGTTCGAAAAGAGAATGACACGGTATGAAATTTAGAGACTATAATATGTTTTGGCGTTACCATTTTCCCCCGGCCTTAAAGGGTACCTTTAAAGAAAATGTATAAAGCGGAAATAACTAAGTAGGAGAAATGGAAAAAGACTAAATTATTGTGTAGGGATAGGACACAAGCGGACCACAGGTCGCACAAGTATGCCCTTAGAAGTGCGGACAGAAACGACGCGGACGCTGCCGTCTTTAGACGGATGCAGCTTTTCTATGACACCTAAAGGTCATGATTGAGGCGGTGCATTATCATTAATTATTACTACCACCGTACCTTCACGGATCATGTTACCTACAGGCTTATTCCATTTCTGGCACGTTTGTAAGCTATGAAGATACTCGCTTCGCCATCTCTTCCAAAAGGACTGGACCATTTTGTCCATAAGCGAGTACCTTTCGAGTAGGTCTGCGTTTGAACCTATCTCCGCGGCGGGCAACGAATAAAGCGGTACTGAATGCAAAAAATGGGAAGGCGTTAGAGCGCTGGGCTCTGATGGATCAGCACTAAGAACAGTTAGTGGTCTGGAGTTTAAAAGACATTCTATTTGCGTAAGAATCGTTATTAACTCCTCATACGA